TTGAGAGACATTATCTTGAAAATATCCAACACTAAATAAAAAAGGGCTGGTGAAGTGGCTCAAGCGGTAGAGTGCCTGCCTAGCAAGCATGAGGCCCTGAGTTCAAACTCCAGTACCACCAAAACACACACACACACACACACACACACACACAAACCCATGCCCATTAGCAGTGATTGACTTGATTTGTAATCTGCTGAATTTTTGACGTTTTAGAACATTCTTGAAACAGAAGTTTCATTCTTATGCCAATTACCTGAGGCCACCATGTTTCCTAATTTCTGTTCTTGTTTCATTCCTGTGTACCTATAGTCTTCAGGTAGCTACTTTTATCCCATCAAAAGAATTACAGACTCTTTCATGTGCGAAGGTGCAGTACTCACAATTTCCTTGTTCCCTCACTGATATTCATTCAGCCTTGCCAAGGTGTGGGAAATGAAAACTGTTCCATTCAGGTTAAAAAACAAAACAAAACAAAACACAAACACGTTCCTCACTTGGGCACAAAAACACATTTATTGGTTAAAACGCTTACAAATGGAGAAAAACACACAGCAGGAAATATAAAAGCTCACCACCTCCTAGAAAAAAAGATGTTAACAAGTAATAAACTATTGTTCCATAGTTTTGAATGACGTGAAGGAAGACGTTTTATAGACAAATTTCCCTTATTTTTATTTAGAGAATTAAATTATTTCTTAAAAACACATGATGAAAAGCCACTGTGATCCTGGAGAAATTTCAGTAGCAAAATGAGATAGTTATTTCAGCTCACTGCATTCCCTAAAGTAAAGGTGGTAGGGGAAAAGGCAAAGTTATCAGAAAAACCAGGTGTTATTACCACAACAGACAGAATGCCAAAGACCATAGAGATAGAGCCAGAAAGGACCTCGGAGGTCATTCATCACCAACTCTATTTCCACAGGAAGGAACCGAGCCCAGCCCACCCTGCCAGGCAGCAGAAGAGCAGAGGCTGAAAGACCATCTGAAATGAAAGCCTGGACAGTGAGGCAGTGAGGGTCTCTAAATTCTAACATCACTAGACACCCACGCGGCAGAATCTGGAATTCAACCAGAAAGATCTAAGGCTCCAAGTCTGGAAATGGAGCAGGAGAGAATTATGCAGCCCTTGGGAATACAAAGAATGTCAGGTTTATCTCTGTTCTTAAGTCTTAGATAATTCTCAACTAGAATCTAAGAGCTGTTAAAAAAGCAGCTGTGACAACCAGCTGGATAAGGCCGGAAGCAGAGGCACCATGGGAGGTGACTATAGCTGTCCTTTTTCGCTGTGTGAGTGGAGGGATTGCTTTGGCCCACACTAATGACCAAAGCATGACAAAGAGTGATTCTTCCCCAGTTTTTCAGTCGCCCTGGGCATGTAAGGTCCTTGCCTTACACATTGCTCCAATACACAGGAGGCTGGTGCCACACTCATGGGAAACTTGGGCTGTACCCAGGACGCATCACCAAAATAGCTCTTGCAAAAGGGAAAAATCAACAACGTGGTATACTGGCCTCAAAAAGAGAAAAACGTTCTCAAAACCATAACACACATTGTGCCTTAGAGTTGTTTAATCCTTTGCTTCAAGTGTGTTTGTAATCACACTCTTTCTGACACTTCGGTTTCGTGGGATTCTTGGGTTTGTTAACCACTGTGGAATGTCCGTACATCCTGTTTAACCTAGGATACTGTAACAGGGAAGCCAGGGTCAATGCTAACCCGAATTAAACCTCACAGGAGTGAACTGCACATATGCAGATAGAATGACAGTCTGCAGTGTCCCTTCCAGCTCTAAAGGCTTGGCTTCTTCGGCACAATCCACCCTGTGTCTACGCCGGTGCCACTGTATTCACTTAGAGATGGCTGAAGACCTGCTCTGTTGGGGACAGAATCAAAATGCAAATGAGACACCGATTCTGCTATTGAGAGACTCATTGTCCCGTGGTTAAGCATGGATTAAGATAAACTTTCTCTTTTTCATATAAGATGTTAAGGAGTCAGGTGGAAGTGTTAGGAGGATTTAGTTACAATAAATGAATACAAGGTACTTGAGAAATCCCTTGGCTTAGGATATACAGAACTGGTTCTGTGTTTGCTGTTCTAGAAAAACCAGAATAACTCGTTGGTTATTTTAAAAGTTTCCCATATTTTTCTCCCTTAGAAAGATAAACAAATTCTACTTGAAGTAACTCCTCCTGCCCCACAAATAGGTATTATGACGCTTAGTTAAAAAACACGGATATAAAAACTAGCCATCTGTGGCTGACTGAGTGGTTCAACTGGTAGAATGCCTGCATAGCAAGCACGAGGTCCTGGGTTTAAACTCCAGTCCCACGAACAAAGCAAAAAACAAGCAACCAACAAACCCCATCAGACTACAAAGCATATGTACATTCATCACAGTCTTGGGTAGTTTGCAGTAGTGAGGTCGTTTGCATGGGATGGAGAGTTACAGAAGTGTGGACCTCGCATCCAGATTCCACCTCTGTGCTTCCTAGGACAGAAGCATGCCTTCTACTGAAAGCAGGAATCTTGCTTTTAGCTCTGTGCCTATGATAAAGGTTTACCCATTGTCCTGAAGTATACACACTTTGTTTTCACAGCACTGGCAAAGGGTCTGCGCCAAAATACCTAGTGCCCTTTGTAAAGAGTGAAGATGGTTGGCCTTCAGAAGCCTGGAAGTTGCAGCCTTCAATGGAGCATAATGGAGCAATGGAGCTGGTGAGTGACAACTGCACTAGCTGCCAGAGAGGGGAAGTCATTCAGCCTGTGCCCGCGTGGAAGGAAAATCAAGGGGAGAGAAATGTCCAATTGCAATAGAACCATGCACATTGTTCCAAGGCAGTAGGCCCAGGGTCTCTAGGGCTATTTTCATTGATATTTTTGTCTTACTTTGCTGTTTCAAATTTTGTGCAATTACACAGGAGATGGGAACTTTTATAATAGAAGAGGTCTCTGTCACACCACGGCCCACATTTGTATGATAGCAAAAATTCATGTCAAAAATTTCATTTGCAATTTGTAAGACTCAATGGAACTCACAGCTGTCCTTGGAGTACGTGAGAAGACTTTGGGGTTGGGGGAGTGGCTCAAGTAGTAGAGCACCTGCCTAGCAAGTGCAAGGTCCTGAGTTCAAATCCAAGTATTGCCCCCCCCCCCCCCGCAAATAAAAACAACTTCTGGTATGGCTGGATTAAGACCTCTGGAGACCCAAAGATGTGAACACATAGCCTACCCTGTACCATATGTACTGAAAAATAACACTTTATATATGCCAAAATTGAAGGTGCTTAGTTTTCATTGTCTCTGCTTTACTAAGGCTCCGCTTTAACTGCTTTCTAGGTAATCCAGCAGACATAGGCCATCAGCCTGGCCTCCTCAGTGCTAAGTGCAAGGTTAAAATTCATCCCACTGTGAAATCACAAAAGATTACGTGCATGGGCTTTTTTTGTTTTGTTTTGTTTCTTGGAGGGACTGGGGTTGAACTGAGCCTTGGAACTTGCAAAGCAGACACTCTGTTCTTCAGCCATACGCCAGTCCATTTTTCTCTGGTTATTTTGGATATGGGGTCTCACAAACTATTTGCCTGGGCTAGCCTTGAATCTACACCCTCCTGATTTCAGCCTCCCAAGGATCTAGGATTATAGGCACAAGCCACTGGTGCCCAGGGTGTCATGGAATTTTAATGAACTTCTTCAAAGGGATGAAATTTATGGGTTTGTAGTAACTTACAAAAAAAAGAAAATGATCTGATTTCAAAGCCATGGGTGAATGATTATCGCTCACTAGTGTAAGGTTGAAGGAATTCAGGCCAAAGAAACCCTCTCGCAGAACAAGGACGCTCACTTTCTGGTGTGTGAAATGCTTTCCTGCTCAAGTCGTCACCTAGTATGGTTTTGTCTTACTGTTGCTGAGCCTGCTGCAAGCTCCAGCCTAGGACTTAGAGTTTAAAACTCAGAAGCCTAAAGATGTGTGACAGTAAGTTAGAAGATAGAGCAACTCAGTGAACTTGCTCACAAACACCTAGAGTGGAGAAGGCACAGAAGGAAACGTTTAGCAAAGAAGGTCTTTTGGAAACAAGACTGCATTTCTAACGTCTGTAATTTATCAGAAACCTCCTTCTGACTCACTCCTTCTGAAACAGCATCCAGTATGGTGGATTACTGGTGTGCATGAGCAGAGAGGGGAAATGACTTCTTTCTGAAAGTGTGTTGGTCTCATAACAGGCTTCATTCTATAGAACAGTCTTTAAAATTCTTCACATTATAGCAAAGTTTATTTGCATGTTCAACCATAAATTCACTCATCAAACAGTACTCTTTCTCTGTCTACCAAGTGTCACGAGCTCACTTGGGCAATGGGGAGACATCAGCAAACAGAAAGGACAAGATTCTGCTGTCAACTGTGGACTGGACACCTGTCACCAGAGGGGCACACTCTTTCAGAACTTGTTGTAAATGAAAAGGCCATTTGGGAAGAAAGAAGTATTTCCATGGAAACCTGGAATCACCAATGTCTTACTTGTCCTAAAACATGCAAAATCATGTATTTCAAACAGACCTGCTTGTCTATGTCAGATAAACATGCTTCCAAGCATGAACAGAAATGACCTAAGTATTAAGGACCAGGGATGTAGCTCAGTGGTAGAGAGCTTGCCTAGCTTGTGCAAGGCCCTGGGTTCAATCCCCAGCACTGGAAAAAAAAAAAAAAAGGAAAGAAAAAAGAAAAGAAAAAGTTGTCTTTATTCAGTAATGAATGACCTGTTCAGGCTGAAAAAATAAATCTTTATGTGGCAAATTACTTTCTAGCTGTGTTAAACTATAACTATCATACTTTGGTAAAGCATCATCTTAAATTCTGTGATGTTTAGTAAAAGGGTCTGATGACTTTTCTGGAGCAGTTCTGGAATTTGAACTCAGGACCTCACATGTGTAAGGTAGACGCTCTACCATTTGAGCCACTCTACCAGCTCTAATAACTTTTTGAATTTGTTGTTTTTTCTTTCTTTTTAAAAAAAAATTGTAATTTTTCATAACCTGTAAAATGATTTAGTCCCCCTGCATGAGGAAGACTATTAAAAGGATCACAGTCATCTCCAACTCTGTCCTATGTTCACCTACTTTATTTTATTTATTACAAATAAAACTTCAACATCTCACCATAAATGATACTTTTCAGTTGCAACTTTGATTCTGGAGTCCAAAAGGGGAAAAAAAACCCCAATAGGCTTATTTAATATATTTATTCTCTCAAAGGGACGTCCCCTTGTCCTCCTTCATGCCTCGGGAGACTGAAGTCACTTGAAAATGAGAGTTTCGTGCTCTGGAATACCATACTTCCTTTTGTGCTCCTCAAATAATTTCCTGAGTTCCTTCATGTAGGTCTGATGCAGCTCTTCGATCTGCTCCGGGGTGGGGTGCAGAGTCTGCTGGACAGGGATTGGGCGGCCCACTGCAAAAAAAGAAACCACATCACCCGCTTGGCATCACCACCACTCCACTGCAGCCTGTGCCTTTCAGGGACGGCTGTGGGAAGAGCCACCAATCAGAATCCCTCCAGCCTGCCTGCTCCAGTCCTCCAGTCCTTTGACTGGCTGCCTACAGGGGTCACACCATCCCACTCGATGACAAAGAGGGAGCGTTCCTTCTGGCCAGACACTGGGCTGTCAGTATCCTGGTGGTTTTGACTTTGAGTCAAACGAGCTACTGTGCTGACTGCAGCTGTGAGGTAAGTGAGCATAGCTGTGTGTCCACGTCACCCGCATTCTCCCTCTGTCCAGCTGACAGCCAGACCACAGTACTCTTATTATTTATTAGTGACAGTGAAATCCTTGAGTCATTGGCAGCCCTCTATTCTGACTCTTCCTGGTATCTTTCTACACTATTAAAAGTGAGCATTTTCCCTGCTAAGCAAGTATCTGTGCTAAAGAAACACATCTTCACAAGGATCCCACTGGGTGTAACAGTGGAAAACCAAAGTCCAGCTAAAATTCTCAACAGAAAATTATCAAATAAACCATGGAACATTCATTAAGCAGAATAGGCAAAGATTTAAAAAATGTAAATATGTGACACACACAAAGATGTCTAAAATGCGGGACCAATAAGCTGTAAAATAAAGTATGGTACGATTTATTTAAAAATTTTATATTTCAGCCAGATGCTGGTGGTTCACGCTTGTAATCCTAGCTACTCAGGAAGCAGAGATCAGGAGGATCAAGGTTCAAAACCATCCGGGAGGCAAATAGTTCTCAAGCTCCTATTGAAAAACTCACCACCGAAAAGGTCTGGTGGAGTGGCTCAAGTGGTAGAGCACCTGCCTAACAAGTGTGAGGCCCTGAGTTCAAACCCCAGTACTGCCACAAACAAACAAATTTTATATTTCTAGATGCACCAATTTTTAGTATACAGAGAAAGGTCTGGAAAGACAAGCTAACAATTTCCTCTAGGGAAGGAGGTAGGGTCTTTCATTTTATCTGTATTGTATGAATTTTCTACAAATGAGAACCTTATCAGTGAAATCTAGAAACTTCTATACCTATTTTTAAAGATCTTTATACAGCTATGCCTCACTCCTCTCAGATTTTTAGCGCGCTCACTGCGCCCTCTGCTGGCCTCACGCTGCTACTGATGCCAAGGGGTGAAGATGCACAGGCTGGCCAACCACAGCTGGGCAGCAAACTGCTTCCAGTGGAACGCACCCCCACCACCACCATTTTTTTTTTTTTTCCCAGCAGTACTGTGGGTTGAACTCAGGGCCTTATGCTTGCTAGACAGGCACTCACCACTTGAGCCATGCTCTCAGCTTCTTCTGACCTTTGATTAGCTTGGACAAATAAATAGAACACACTGTGGAGGGATTCCTTCCTCTCACCTTAATTACCCTGCGCTACATACAAGGCATGGATCCGTGTTGGAACAGAGTGAGGCTCGTTTAGATAAAAGGAAGCAAATGTTAAGTAACAGAGCAAGAGGAAAATGACGAATGACATCAGTAAAGGGCTGATGATACAGCTCAGACTTGCCTGGTAACCACTAGGCCCTGGGTTCGATCCCAGTACCACAAGCAGACCTCAGTAGAGGGGCGCAGAGAAGGGAGTGATATGCATACAAACACACCCCCACATCCTATGGCAGCATTAACAATCTCAAGTTGCTAAGTATTCCACCAGATACAGCCTCCAGAAGCTCACGTACAGTTTTCGTTGACAGCTTGGATGTCAAATTTATACCCAACAGACATCAGTCCTTTTACACTTGGCATAAACACCTGGAAAAGACCATCTTGCTGTCAGCTGTGGTTGGAATTACGGATGAGGAGAGGCTAGCGTGGTGATGGGGTGGAACTGGGAGCCGGTGTTGGACAAAAAAGCACCAGGGTTGCCTGGGTCTGGTTGTGGCCCACCAACAAGTGTGCTGTGCAAGGAATGCCCTCTTGCCCTGAATTCTCACACGTGATGATCTTGAAGCTTCCCTCCATCTCTGAACTTTGAGAAAAATGGAGACATCTGCATGTAAATGTACCAGTAGAGCTGTGGTTTCACAGAAATAGTGTCTGCTTGCTTAGTGACAGTATCCCAATGGGAGAGGTCAATACAACCATGGGTGGGGGGTAGATTAAGAGGCACGGTGGTGGAAGATGAGGTGCATTGTTTCCGGCCACTTTAGTTAGGACTTGTGCATTCTGAATTAGCCAGTCTTCTTTCCCTTAGCTATCCCACAGTAATTTCTTATCAATCGTTTTATTGTATTTCAGATGGGTCTTGCGGACAGCTCAAAATTGCTCCTATAGAGTGAATTCATCATATGACTTTTCCCTTTAAACCTGGAGCTGGATAGTCTATTCACCTTTCTCTTACTGACTTGTAGAGAAATTCAGATACTAAAACTTCCTAAACTACACACAGAACAAATAAAAACCCCAGGAAATTAATATTTAACTCCAGCAGCCTTATTCCTATACCAACCCCAATCTAGATTAGAGGGTAAGAAATTCTCCTTGATTGCTTTTTAGGGAGAAAACTGGAGCTATTAAAACAAAAACCTACTCTTCACCATCATGCTTTGACTACCAAACTCAAGGAAGCCCACCTGGCAGAAATAAGCTGAAATACTCTCCTCACCCCGACTCGTGTCCCTACTTTGACGCTAACTCTCACCTGTGTTGGAAATAAAGCTATCGTTTACAGAGAGTTCACTAAATGTCATTAAGCCCAATCCCAGTCCTTGGAACAACCCAGTGAGGCTGTCCCTGTTTCACAGATGGGAACCACGAGGTCCAGAACAATTAGTTGTTAGGTCCAAGGAGAAAGTTGTGAACCTGAATAGCAGTGTCAGAAATGTACAACTTCCAGGATGGGCTCCAGCCAGAGGACAATGAGATGAGAACACAGAGGTCTCAGAAGGGGCCCTTGGCCTACTGCAGAGAGGGGGGCTGGACGAAAGTACAGCCTGACAGGGTCCTTGTTGAGGGCCCCTATTTTGCTTCAAATCGTACCCTACTGCAACCAACCCCTAAGTCTGCAGGTCCAACACTCAGTTTTTTGGAATCTCAGTTCACATCAAGAACTGGGCTGGGCATGGTGGTATAATTCCATCTACCTGGGAGTTGGAGCTAGGAAGGTCATAATTTGAGGTCAACCCCAGTAAAAGTTAGTGAGATCCTATCTCAAAAACAAATCAAGCATGGTGCTGCGTGCCTGTAATCTGAGCTACTCAGGAAGTAGAAGTAGGAGGATCACAGTCTGAGGCCAGACTCAAAAAGCATGAGACCCTATCTGGAAAGCAAACTGAAATCAAAAGGGCTGGGGACATGGCTCAAGTGGTAGCTTGGCTAGCAAGTATGAGGCCCTGAGTTCAATCCCCAGCACCATTTAATAATAATAACAATGTAACAATAATAATAAAAGAACAATATACTCAGCAATTGCATATCCCCCAGACTCAGTGATTTCTTTCTTTCTTTCTTTTTTTTTGTCAACACTGGGGTTTGAACTCAGAGCCTCATCTTGCTAGCTAGGCAGGCGCTCTTACCACTGTAGCCATTCTGGCAGCACAAGTGATTTCTAACATTTATACAAGTGTTATAGAAATCATTATTTTTATTTTTGTAGAGCATATGAAAGTGAGTTGTAGACAAGAATAATTCAGTCACGTGCATTGTCCCACCATAGCTCAGCCTGGATCACCTAGGAACAAGGGCAGTGCCCAGTTAACCAATGCTATTACCCTGTCCAAAAGCTGGACCCCTATGCAGTATTATTTTGCACTTAATCGACAAGCTTTATCATGTGGAGTTGTTTCCCTCTAGCCTGTGGCAGCTGTGGTGTGTCTCTGAGTACCTCCTCCTCTCTGTCTTTCATGAGGCTGATACTGTTTTAAAAGTCTAGGCAAGTTGTGTTATACAGTGTCCCACAATCTGAATTTGTATGATTGTTTCCTCATGATTTGATTTGGATTAATGTTTTGGCAAGATTTTTTTCCACAGGGAAAGCTGAGCACATTTGGAAAATCTCAACGACCTGATCAGGAACCTTTCTGCTCTGTCTACAACCCTCTTTTTTTTTTTTGTGGTACTGGGGTTTGAATGTAGGGCCTACACCTTGAGTCACTCCATCAGCCCTTTTCTGTGATGGATTTTTTTGTGATAGGGTCTCATGAACTATTTGTCCTGGCTGGCTTCGAACTGCGATCCTCCTGATCTCTGCCTCCTGAGTAGCTAGGATTACAGGCGTGAGCCACTGTTGCCCAGCTGTCTACAGCCCTCTTTTGCTTACGACTGGTCTCAGCTCAGCACTTTCCCAAGCATTATGACACATGACCACCAGAAGACCCCCAAGAGCAGACAGGCCAATTATACTTATCCCCCTTTTATGGTTGAACAATCTAAGGCTCAGAGAAGATAAATGAAACCTTCAAAGTGACTCAGAGTCAGATCTCAGACCCACACCGCTTCCTTGTACACATCCAGCACAATTCTTAAAGTCAATGTCAAGTATGCAGTGAGGGCCTGTGATTGCTGCAAGCTGCTGGGATATGAGTACCAATGGAAGAACCAATTTCTTAATAGCATTGTTTGTATTTTCAGTGTCACTATTAGAATAAAAGTGAAATAAAGACTTCTATCACATCCATACTCAGAAGACAGGCAGAGGAGTTAATAGAAATTCAGCAAGAGCCCAGAGGCCAGAGGGGACAGGCTGAAGAACCTTGCCATGCTACGTGCAGACACAGCACATAAATCCGTCTTGGTATCCACAACTTAAATGATCTACCACAGGGAGAAGGGAAAGCTCTTTTTATTTATTATTTTTTTTGGGGGGAGTACTAGGGTTTGAACTCAGGGCCTCATGCTTGCTAGGCAGGTGCTCTACCACTTGAGCCAGACACCCAGCCTTTTTCTTTGTGTTGGAATTTTTTATATAAGGTCTTGAGAACTATTTGCCTGGGCTGGTTTTGAACCGCAGTCCTCTTAAACTCTGCCTCCTGAGTAGTCAGGATTACAGGCGTGAGCCACTAGTACCTGGCTTTTTGTTTGCTTGTTTGTTTTTGTGAAGCAGGAACTTGCTATGTAGCCCAGGCTGGCTTCCAACTCATGATTCCCTGTCTCGGCCTCCTGAAAGCTCCACTTTTAAAACTGAAGTTTCCTTTGTATCTTCCTTTCTTGTCCAAGCATCTAACTTCCCACCATAGCTCCTGCACTGACTTTCATTTTGGACTTGTTAATCTTAAAATTTCCAGTGCGCACTTGTCAGAGTTCAGAAATGTATGAATCATAAGCAGACAGGCATAGCAGAAGACTAACTTGCTTATTCACAAGTGTTTCTTCAGCTCCTACTCTGGATAGTGGGAATATGAACAGTGAAAGAGACAAATCTCTTAGAGCCCCTATGAGGTTCTGTAATGCAGAGACAGTGAACCAATGTCCCTGCAAGGAACAGCAGTGCTTTATGCAGTCTTCTGAAAGTCTGACCTTTCTTCAGGTGTCTCTCCTAGTTGTCATGATGGATGTGACATTTAAAATGTTTTTGTCCTTACTATAATAAAATACCCCATATCTGAACATTTCCCTGTATTTTGAAAAAGTGATAACAGCATTCATAAAATATGTAAATTACATACCATATATTGGTGAAATGTGGAAAAAAATATCTGGTAGCCTCTGTACAAAATATACTTGTGGAGAGGGCTGTGATGGAAGATGCAGAGAAACCTGATGGTCTTGTGTAAAAGATATGCAAAGAAAGGGCTGGCGGAGTGGCTCAAATTGTAGAGCACCTGCCTAGCAAGTGTGAGGCCCCAAGTTCAAGCCCCAGTATCGCTAAAAAAAAAGAAGAAGCAGCACACTGAACAAACATGAATGAAAACAAGAGCTAAGGACGTGACTGTGAACTCTGATTCAGTAATTACACTTGACTCTGGATCAACTAGTTATTTGTCAGTAGAGGCATATCTGACTAGAGCAAATAGTAAGCCACTTTACTTTAAAGCTTAACCCAGCCAGGCGATAACTATAATCACTTAACAGAATGCACTGCTCTCAGCTGCTTATTTCATGTGAGCTATGTGTACTTTAAGTTGTTTCCAGAACCATGCCTTATAATTTCCTTTATATCCCTCCAAAAGCAACAATGGTACTTTGTACATAAGGGATCAAAAATGGTAAATTGATATTATACCAAAGAAATGTAGCCAGCCGATCTTAAGAAAACATAATTATAACCTTAAACTTATCTAATACTAACTTTTCCTAATACTAACTAACCAACAGCCTGAACACATTCCATCTGAGTTAAATACAGTATTTAGGACAGCACCATGTGACAGTATGTGAAATGCAAAGTTCCTATAAAGGAAAATCCTATTCTAGCGACTGGAGATTGTAGTTCAGTGGTAGAGCACTTGCCCAGTATTCTCAAGGCTCTGGGTTCAATCCCCAGCACTGAAAAAAATCCTATTCTAGAGCTGGGCATGGCACCACACATCTATAATCCCAGCACTACATTCGAACTTCATTTAAAGGACTACCCACGGTAAAAATGCTACTTCCAGTTTCACATAAAGTTTTGGTCAATTCTGCTATGGTTTAGCACTTTCTCATTTTCAACCCTCAAGTCTCCTTACAAACCTGAGGAGCTGGTTATTTTGCTCTTGCCTTTTATTTATTGACTGATCTACTTTTTGAGGCAGCGTCTTGGTCTGTGGCCCAGGCCAACCTCAAGTCAAGACCCTCCTCCTCAGTCCCTTAGTAGGTGGGATTTCAGGCATGTCTATCCACCCGGCTTTGCATCTTTTCCCATCTCAATCCCCACAGACATGCAGCTTTTTAAAATAAAACAAGTCAATATTAAAACACATAAAGGAAGGGGGGAGAAATGACCCAAACATTGTATGCACATATGAATAAAAAAAATGTTAACATTTTGATAAAAAATAAATAAATAAATAAAACACACACATATAGCTAGGGACACAAAAAATTCTTTTGTGATAGAAACTGATATGTAGGTAAAGTGATTGCAATTAAGACATCTATTACATAGAAATTTGCATTTACTTGATAGACTGATGTAACTTGCTCATTAAGGAACTGCTGTTCTATCACTGGTTGGTAGAGAGAAATAGATTTATCATCACAGAGCATCAGAAACTTTATTTCTGCCCAAAAGACCAAAAATCGTATGTTCTCCCTCATATGTGGACATTAGATCAAGGGCAAACACAACAAGGGGATTGGACTTTGAGCACATGACAAAAGCGAGAGCACACAAGGGAGGTATGAGGAAAGGTAAGACACCTAAAAAATTAGCTAGCATTTGTTGCCCTCAACACAGAGAAACTAAAGCAGATACCTTAAAAGCAACTGAGGCCAAGAGGAGAAGGGGACCAGGAACTAGAGGAAAGTTTAGATCAAAAAGAATTAAGCTAGAAGGTAACACACATGCACAGGAAATTAATGTGAGTCAATGCTCTGTATAGCTATCCTTATCTCAACCAGCAAAAACCCTTGTTCCTTCCTATTATTGCTTATACTCTCTCTTCAACAAAATTGGAAATAAGGGCAAAATAGTTTCTGCCGGGTATCAAGGGGGTGGGGAGGAGAGGGAGGGGGCGGAGTGGGTGGTAAGGGAGGAGGTGGGGGCAGGGGGGAGAAATGACCCAAGCATTGTATGCACATATGAATAATAAAACAATAAAAAAAAGAAAGAAAAAAAAAAAAAAAGAAACTCTATTTCTAAAACTGGATTCACATGTAGTCCAAAAGCTGTACCTTTTTCTTTTTAGGTGGTACTAGGGTTTGAACTCAGGGCCTCACACTTGCTAGGCTCTATCTTTTGAACTATTCTACCAGCCCAATAGCTGTATTCTTGAAAGTAATTGATCCCATTCAAATAGACAATGGAGACATTTGTTCAATTAAAGCTCAAACAATGTCCCTAATGTCCCTAGATGACTACTTCAGGAAGTTCATCCCAAAGCCATATCTCTTGCCGCATTAGCACCTCGGTCAACAACAATAAACATTGCTTGAAGTGAGATAATTCTGTTTAGTTCATGAACATACCGACAGTGTGGATGGGTTTCCGATAAGGCATCAGGCCAAAATTGTACTGGAAGATTCCTCGGGCATGAAACAGCGGCAGAGCGAAGCCCATGATTTTCTGCAGTCTCTCCTGAACGGTTCGCAGCCAGGAGCCTTCAGGGTTGTTAATTTGCTTGAAGAGTTCGTTTTCACCAAAAGAAAACACTGGGACCAAATCGGCACTGCAGTAACAAAGGGGGAGGACAGGACTTTTATTTTATTTGCTTATTTATTTTGGTGGGACTCAGGGTTGAAGTCACCACTTGACACTTGCAAAGCAGGCACTGTGCTGCTCCACCTCTGCAGTCACACCTCCAGTCCATTTCTGCTCTGATTGTTTTGTAGATAGGGGTCCCATGAACAACTTGCCCAAGCTGGCCTTGAACTGCTATCCTTCTGATCTCAGCCTCCCAAGAAGCTAGGATTATAGGCAGGAACCACCGATGCCCAACTAAGATCATGAATTTTAAATGAAAGGATTTAAATAATTTTTAATTGTATCCAGATGACCTTACAACAAAGCCCCCCAAATTCTTAAATGTGCCCAACTGTCCATAACTAACTTCAGTTCCTAACACTGGAACTGCACCATACTGGAAGCCAGTCATCAGGGGAATTTTATCCTATAGAAAATCAAGGTTCCAGGACCCTTCTTTCTCAGCGCTCTTTGCTCACTGGCTGTACATTTACACTGAGTACATATATTTTGGTGTTTGTTATTGTTGTTGCTGTTAACTGCTAGATGCCATGGCACCGAGCAACCTTGGTATGGATGTTCCATAACCAAGAACATCCACTGCAATTCTAAGATTGGCTTGACTGTAGGCCTAGAAGAATTACTTTCATTCTTTGTGTGCATTTAATAACGTCTTATCCTTCTTGACCCAGTTACCTTAAACAAAAGCCACTTACCCATGGGTCAAAGCAATTTTAGCAAATCCTTTCCGCTGGCGGATAAACAGCGTGAGCTTTCCCGGATGGGCATCCAGTGATTCTTCTGCACCCCCAAGGACGATGACAGAAATGTTCCCGCCTTCCTCCTTGCTCAATACGTAGGATACACTTTTCTTAGAAACTGAAACTGGCCCTTAGTGAATAAAACAAAAAGATAACTATTCATCCTTTCTAAACAATTACTATATTCTTAAATAATACTCCATGGCAACAGTGAACATTTAGCAAAAGTTCCTATGCTGCTTATCTTTGAAACATATTTTCAGGTTTGTAACTTTTTCATTGTCAAATCTTTGGTAATGTATTCCATCAAGGGGAGCAAATATTTAGGCAGGTGATAGGTTTGGTCTTTAAAATGTCACTTGATGTTACTATTGCTACCATTTGTTTGGGAAGACTATGCACAGCTCAACTCTGTAGGATTCCATTTATTTTACATAAGCAAAAAGTGTCCTCCTAGAGTTGTTCAGTGATCAACCTGCACAGCTTACATGGTGGTCTTGACCATTACCCTGGTAGCTTCCTGTGCAAAACCTCTAAGAGGTTGCAATGGATCTTCTGAACACACAGTGGCCCATTTTCAGTTATTCTCTATAGATTCTAATTTTCCAAACTTGGACTTATAATGCAAATTATTTTTAAAATTCAGACATTTCATAATCAATTTACATTACATGTCATAGTTTAAAAATATAGAGTCTGACTAGTAAATAGTTCACTTAAGACAGTTACAGAGACTGGGAACCGGTGGCTCACACCTATAATCCTAGCTACTTGGGATACTGAATTAGGGAGGATCAAAGTTTGAGGCCAGCCTGGTAAAATAGTTCTAGAAACCCATCACCAAAAATAACCAGAGCAAAATGAACTGGACTGTGGCCCAACTGGTAGAGTGCCTGCTTTTTAAGTATAACGGCCTGAGTTCAAACCCAAATCCCACCAAAAAAAAAAAAAAAAAACAAAACAGACAGTAACAGGGGTTCGGGTGTTGCTCAGTGGTACAGTATATGCTACCTTGAGTTCAATCCCCAACACTTTAAAAAAAAAAAAGTAACATTATTTAGAGCTGGGAGTGGTGGTTCATGCATATAATCCCAGCCCTCAGGAAGCTGAAGCAGGCAGGAAGATCACGAGTTCACTGCCACCCTGGGCTATGTAGTGAGGCCTTCTCTCAAAAAACCAAAACCAAATACAAGATAGTTACATAACTGTTCAGTATATGTATCAAGTTTTCCCATGTAAAAATTACTTTAAATTTCCTTTTTGGATTTTAAATGTATTATGAACTCTTGAAGGAAAATAAAGAAAGGAATAAAGATGAAAATAAAACCAGTCATGGCCCACATTTCAGAGATAATTGCTTTTAAATCTTATGTTTCCTTCCATTCGGGGTTTCACCTTTTTATTTTTATTTTTTTTTTAGTCATAATAGAATCTGTTAGGCAGTCTTTGTAAAGACAGAGCATAACTCTCTCTTATAGGAAATGATATGGTGATTTTACTGTGGGTTCCTACACTGGGGAATGTAAAATCATGACAGGATTTCAAATGACTCACTCTGAAGGGAAGAGGCAGAGGGCGATAGGTAGGTGCTTTGAACTTTCCCCGAGTTCCAGAAGTGCCATTCCACTCTGTGTGACCTGAGTGGGAACTGAGGTCATCTCTTCCAGTGCCTCTGGCACTTCTCAGTTTGTGTCAGGCTCCTGTCCTCAGGCCATCCTTTAAGGTTGCTATTTCTGAGAGTTCCTTCCTTGCCTTTCTCTTGTCTACTAACCTCATCTACACCCACAGACTCACCTACCACTTACATGAGCTAAATTCTGCCAAATCTATCTCCTGGATCTCTTCCTCTTCCACCTCCAAGTCCACCATCCACAATGGCCCAATGGGCATCTCCATCTTGACAGCTCACAAACACCTCAAATTCCACGTTTACAAACCCAATGCAGTAAATTCTCCCTCAAAGTGGTTCTCCTTCCAACATTACTGATCAACGTAAATGGGACCATCACCTGTCCAGTCACTGAATCAGAAAAAACAACTCTCTGGCCAGTCCAGGCAAATAGTTTGCAAGACCCCATCTCCAAAAATAACCAGAACAGAAAATAGACTGGAGCCTCAGACAAGAGGTAGAGCATCTGTTTTGCAAGCACGAGACCCTGAGTTCAAAACCTAGTTCCACCAAAAACTAAAACAAAACAGGATCAGATTCTGCCATATGCAGTCCCCCTTTGAGGGCCACCACTTTGGTGATTCACTCATTCATTCAAAAACATGAATCAGGCTACAGGCCGGTACTGTGCCAGGTGCTGACAATAATAACAAAGACTGCTTCATGATGAGGAATCAATCATTGAGTTTTGTTGACTCTATCAACTATTTTTCATCCTGATCTCTTCTGTATTTCACCAGAGCTACTGTGTTGGCTTAGCCCTTTTCATCTCCCCCTGATCAGGACAACAGGCCTGTCCCTTAATCCCAGTCTCCAGGCTCCCTTGCTTTACCCATCTCCAAGATGCTGACAGAACGACCTTTCTAACATGCAAAATCTAAACAGGTCCCAACTACGCTCAAAATCCCTCTAAGCTTCCCATGACTTACCTACAAGAGAAAATCTAAAGTCCTCTGTGTGGCGCACACGAGGCTGTTGTGACCATCTGCCTGCTGCCTGCCCAGCCTTAATGGGGAGACAGAAAGCAACATGAACCTCGAAACACAGTGTGTTCTGGCTGCCACCAGTGACTACAGATCCATTAAGACAGGCCAAGAGCAAGGAGTGGGAGAAGGGATCTAAAAAGACGTATAGCCACGCAACCTGTGTGAGAGGTAGGTGCAGAGCAGAAGGGAGCCTTAGACCGGGGCTGTCCTAGGAGGGTGGTCCTGGGAGGGAGTACTGAAAATGCTCCACTTACAGACAACAGTCTGAATCTGAACTGGCTTGTAGCCTGCATATTGTCATTTAGTATTTAAGATGCTGAAGGCTGTAGCAAGAGGAACTACTTCATGATATTATTCACAGGCAGACAGATTGCATCTCAACATCAGCTTTGGCAGTGGCAACGGCCGTAGGAGGAAGTCTCTGAGATGATGATTTGTGTCCCATGTGGCTGTGGACAGGGGTGCACCTCTTGTGCCATGAATTTGCTGCACTTGCTCTCAATTATTCTACACAAACTCACCTGTGCCTTTACTCTGAATCAGCAAAGAGTATAATGTAAATACATTTCTGTGCCTTTTTTGAAATTTAAAAATTGCTCTTTAACATTCTTCCTTTGATAAAACTCTAAGCCAATAGAAAAGGGGATGTGGTTCCCTCTTGGGGAGCTCAGGAGGGAGCGCTCTAGAGGCCAGATGCCAGATCTTTAGGTAGTTTGGGGGTTAGTGCGCCCTCTAGGGTTTACTTGCCACTCAACAGAACCTGAAAACCCCACCATGGATCCTGGGGTTTTGGTGCTTAGTGGCTTCCTACCCGATACATGAAGACAACAGTGACTTGAGGAACAAAGAGAAAGCAATGAAAATATGGAAGGTCAGGAAATTCTGTCCCTAAATATGCCACTTACTGAACCTGAAGTCATAATTTTCCCAAAATTTATGCAAGCTAGGTGCTAGTGGCTCACACGTGTAGCTGCCTGGGAGGAGGCTGAGTTTGAGAGGGTCGTGGTTCCAGGCCAGCCAAGGTAAAAAAGTTTTCAGGACCCCATCTCAATGGAAAAAAGCTGGGTGTGGTGGTACGTCCTTGTCGTCCCAGCAACTGTGGGAAGTTTAAAATAGGCTGCTGTCCAGGCCAGCCTGGGCAAAAAGCAAGACCCTCTCTCCAAAATAACCAGAACAAAAAGGCCTGCAGGCATGGCCCAAGTAATAGAGCATCTGCCTAACAAGCATGAAGCCCTGAGTTCAAATCCAAGTACCACCAAAAACACCCACAACCAAATGAAAAAACTACTCATTTGTCTTTATAGCCAAGGGCTCAAAGACACTAATAATTGCCCTAAACAATCTCCATAAATATAAACCATTTTGTAAGTTACTGGAGTTCTTGGTTCGTCAATAAGTCAATCAAATTGGAAAACCAAACAAATTGAGCCTCTTAACTTGAAATAAGAGTTATCAACATTTTAGGCTTCTGTATAATTTGTAACATTTCAGATTAATTTTACTCTCAAAATTGGTAAAATGTGGCTTCACTAATCGGAGTATTCCACTGGTTCAAAGTTGCAAAGCAGAATGTGCTCATTTCTTTTTGTCTTTTTAGTACTGGGGTTTGAACTTAGGACCTCATGCTTGCTAGGCAGAAGCTCTACCACTTGAGCAACTCCACCAGTCCTGTGCTCATTTCTTTTCCTTTCCTTTTCTTTTTTTTCAGCAACAGGGATTGAACTCAGGGCCTTGTGCATGCCAGGCAAGTTCCATACCACTGACCTCTAGTCCTAGGACTCTTATTTCTGAATTGAGTTCTGTACAATCTAGGACGCCAAAGCAAGTTGAGTATGTCTGGTTTATATCACTGTTTCATTACTTGGAGACACAATGGAGGACATTTTCCATTTCTAATATTCATAAAAGTATGCAAAATGCCTCTCCAAGGGTGTGATTTTATTTGATCCATGATAGTTTTTTGACATCTGCATATACAAGATACATTTGTTAAGTTATTTTTCATTGGATTAATATTTATTGAACATTACTATGTTGCAGTCACAATGCTAAACACTTGGGATGGAACAGAACAAAAAGACAGTCTGTGTGTTCCTGGCACTTACAGTTCAGTATGCAGTTGAGGACCATCCAGACAGCCTATGAAATGCAAGGCGGGAACGTAGACACAGGAAACAAAATGCACGTTCTGCGTGCACCTACCATCCTAGCACACTACAGAAAGAGAGACCAGTCCTCACTTACCACTACTCATCAGATATTCTCGGAAGAGAGGACACCGGAACCAGAAGGGGAGCACGTGAAGATACGCAGTGAAGCCAGGAAACAGCTGTGTGAAGTTTGAGTAATTTGTACAAAAATTTCCAAAGGCTCCAGCCACGAGTACTCCATGTGGGTGAAATCCAAATATATAGTTGTGATGTGGGTCCAAATCTGAGGTTTTGATGAGCTACAGAACATTCACAATGACAGAAAAACATAAAAAGGTTTTCAATGAGAAACAGAAAGACTCATGCTTAGTTCTTCCCTCAGATGGAGACCAGGATGTGTTTTAGTTCCTGGACTGATTTCTAAACTATCCCAAGTCCAGATCCCATGCCACACAGTCTTCCAGACCTCATCAACTCAGCAGAAAGTTCACTTAGTAACTTGGACCCACTTGAATCTTTCTCTCTCCAATGGTTTGGATGTGCCCTACCCCCAAAAGCATGTGTGGCAAACTTGATCCCCAATGTGACAGCGTTGGGAGGTGGGGGCCCCTAAGAGGTGACTGGGTCATGAGGGCAAAGTAAAGAGATTGACTCCATTACTATGGGATGGGTTCCTTCTAAGGACCCATCTGGCCCCTCTTGCTCTCTGTCACTCTCTCTTGCCCATCCACTTCTGCCAAGGGATGATGCAGCAAGACGGCGCTTGCCAGTCACTGGCACCTTGATAGTGGATCTCCCAGCCTGGAGAACTGTGAGAAATAAAGCACCCAGTATCTGATACTCTGTTACAGGAGTAAAAAAAAAAAAAAAAAGACTAAGATGCTCCCTCTGAAAAGAAAGAAGCCTGAGATAGAGGTGAAGAAAACAAATTTCATTCTACTCCCAACTCAAAATAATACCTCATAAAACAATTCTACTCACATGAATTGGAAAATAGTCGTTAAAATACCTCCAAACAGTCCAGCTTCTGACCCAGTTGGATCTTCTGCCTCCTTGCTCTGGGGTGTGCCAGTCAAAGTAAAGCCATGTCAAATAAGGGACGTAAAGGGACCAGTAGTTGTATATAATCAGTACCGCAACGACTCCAACGCACACCTGTGCTGTGAGAAAGGGAAAAGCCTCGTGGAATTGGGCTCGGTTAGAACCTCCTCCCTCTACCTCACAGTTACTGAGCCTGGTTACAGGTGACACATACAAAGCGTGTTAAACAGAGCCTCAGTTCAGGTGAGGTAATAGCAAGACAGTAAGGACACAGCATGCTTTAATATTTATGTTTATTATAAGGCACGCACTGTGCTGGTGCTCTCCCTGGATATTTGTTCTTAATCCTGACTGGAGTGGTCACAGCACCAATAAAGTAGCCACAGTGCTCTTAAAGACCTTGTATCCCTTTTTATTAGCATATATTAATTGTGCAAAGTGAGGGGTCCCCCAATGTCCTTACAATAGGACACTAGAAGCTTCAAGAGGTGGAGTGAGCTGCCATGTCACACAGCATATAATTCAGGGCCACTTCTCAGCCATGGCCCTGCCTTGCCTCCTGGACAAGAAGTATGGAGGGATGTAGAGGTTTTTCTGCTGTAGGAAATTCTGTCTACCTACCTTCCCTGAGCAGTGGTCACTCACACGCCCATGAAGAGGGTGTTCTAGTGATCGCCTTCATTTTCAGAAGCTGTATTGTTAGGGACAGAAATAGCATAGGAGGGATTCTTTAGAGCATATATAACTTCTTGCCATGGTTTGTGAGAAAGCAATCCTAATTTTTTTGTGTACTTAGATATAGCTTCATAAGGCACCAGTGGCTCACACCTGTAATCCTAGCTACTTGGGAAGCTGAGATCTGGAGGATAAAGGTTGGAGACCAGTCTGGTCAAATAGCTCATGAGACTTCATCTCCAAAATAACCAAAGCAAAATGGAGTAGGGGATGTGTCTCGTAATAAAACTTGATCTGAGTAGTAGTAACAAGAATGTTCTCTTTAAAGTTAGTAACCCAGTAGGTTAAGTTATACATTTGTGTGTGTGTGTGTATGTGTGTGTGACGGGGGTTTTGAAACCAGGGAACTGCACCTGCCTATCAAGTTCTCATTTAATATTTTCAGACTGAACTACAGGTAGCTGAAGCCATGGAAAGTGAAGAAAAATGATGTGTGGATAAGGAGGTACTACTGTATGCAAATACACACCGACATATATATGTATGTATATATAAGACTATACACACATATATACATATACATATATACATGTACATATTAGGCCAAAACCAGACATTTATTTTTAATTCCTGATAAATATAAACCCATACATTTCCCAGCATGGATATAACCAGCATACAGGAGTGAACTAGTTTGAGGACTGGCTTACTTGTTAAAGGTTAACCTAGCGGAGGAAAGGTGAAGGATGCATGTGTGCCCCATGTCTCTGTGGGGTATTTTATTGCCTCTGGAACTGCCAAGAATGTGTCGGTGAGTCCAGAAGCAAGGACCAAAGTGTGCCCTTTGCCCCCATTCCCACCAAGGCTTTCCACTTTGCTTCACTTACTCTCCCTACTCAGCTCTGAGTACTGACATTTTTTCATCATTAGTTAACTTCTTGTTTATTTTAGTGAGGTGTGCAAAAGATTTATAAGAAACGTAAACTGCCTTCATTCTTCTGTATTCAAAGCTAGGAGGGAAGGGAAGAGACTGGGACTGGGTGGGGACCAAAGCCTGTCACTTTATATAGAGTCTCATCTATCTCCTTGCAACCCTCAAGGTACAACATCACTGTTCCTGTTTTATACTTGTGGAAACTGAGGTTCAGGGAATTTGAATGTCCAAAGAATTTAACTGGATTTACCTAATACCTATACCTAAGCACTTGAAAACACACACACACACACACACACACACACACACACTAATCCCGACCAAATGGTAAGAACACAGTTAACACTATGGACTTATGGGAGGTTCTGTGTTCTTTACCACAAAGATGGAGAACCTGAGACCAAAGCAAGTTGACTTAACTTCAATCAGAATGAGCCAAGAATGGATCTAAAAATAATGTCCCCTGGCTACAAATTCAATGGTTCACTACCCCAACCACACAGTTTAATTGGATGTTGCATATTCTTTAATGTTCATTGTGTGTTTTGTATGCATTATACTTTAGACCTGGGTCTGGAATTGCACTGCTTCTGGTGGATATGCACTGGCCAGCTGTCTGACCTGGGGCAAGTTCCTTTAACTTAACAGCCTTAGTTACTTTACTTATGAAATGGGTTAATGACAGCATCTTTCTCCAAAGGCTGCTGAGGAAGTAAATGATGCAAAGATGAGGTGCCTGCCACAGAGCCAGTGCTCCACAAATATGAACCATTATTATGTAAATGTTATTTACTATTATACATTTGGAGAATATAAAAAAGTAGACATTGACAGAGTATCAGCCACATTTTTATTACCCAACAAAAACTGTTAGTTTTCCTTTGGGTCCTCTTTTGTATGAACAGTTTTGTTTTGTTTTGTTTTAATGTGGTAGATCACACATGATTTTTAATTCTGTATTGTAGCAATTACAATGATCTCACATTAGCTGTTTGTTATTATAAATTTGGTATTATAATCTGGTCAACAACATTCCAATGATTGTCAGTGCTAATTCAACCATTCTCTTAGTTTCAAACACTTGGGCCTCTGATAAGTTTTCTTTCTGAAAGTAATCTTTCTTGTGTATGTGTGGCACTGGGGATGGAACCCAGGACCTTTCACATACTAGGCAAGTGCTCTACCACTGAGCTACATCTCCAGCCCTCTATGTGTGTAATTTGAATAAAATTTCCCCACACTTTGACTTACTTCCATGGGACAAAAGTAAATGCAGATCACTAAGCAGAAGCATCTTTGCCACTAGAAGCACTTTGATACATTGCTCTTCAAGGTTGATCTAATTTAAACTCCCTCCCCATGCATTGCTTACATTCTTTTATATTTCAGATCACAAACAGATTCAAAACAGCTTTTTAATCCCTTGATTCTACATTGGCTCGAAAGAAGAAAACACTATGAAAACTAGGTGACCAGTTCACCTCTGTTTTCTATTTTTATCTCATTAGGCAATCCAAGGTAACTTGATTCTTCTAAATTGGAAGCCAAAGAGAAGATGAACATGCAAAGTCGACTCTGAGTCCTTGTTCAGCTCTCAAAACTAAAGCTGTGACTTTTAAATTGTCTTGAGTCACAAACCAAGATGAATGAAGACCTGAATTTTGACTGGGTTGATCTATACATACGCTGGATTAAAAGTCCCAGGCAAGCCCCCTGTCACATACTTTATTCAACTCCCATAGATTCTGTTTCCTGCAGCATTAAGGACTCTGTCTCTCATTCTCTTTAAAAACAAACTGAAGTGAAGTTAACATAACATAAAACTAACCACTTTAAAGGTTTTGGGTACTGGAGCATTTTAGATTTGGGATTTTTTTTGGATTAAGGATGCTCAATCTGTTCCCATGTCTAGTTCCCAAACATTGCCATTATTTCAAAATAAAACCTTGTACCTATTAAGCAGTTACTCCCCATTCCCCTTCCCCACAATGCTGGCAAACACCACTCTGCATTGTTTCTATGGTTTTGCCTATTCTGGATATTTCATATGAATGGAATGGTGTAATGTGTGATCTTTTTAGACTTTCATTTAAAGTGAAAGTTTGAGGTTCATCCAAGTTGTAGCCTGCATCAGCTCTTTATTCTTTTTTATGGCTGGACACTATGCCGACATATGTACCTACCACAATCTGCTTATTCATTCATCTGTTGATGGGCAATTGGGTTGTTTCTGCCTTTTGAGTTCTGTGAATAGTGTTGTAATACTCTGATCACTTTAATACTGTGAGAAGACCAAACTAAATAAGGCTCAGCCAATGGTTATGCATCCTTATTAAAGTGAGCATCAGCAATAGAGACAAATGACATGATGCCTCCTGATATGACCTAGTAGCAAAAACAGCCCATTAACAAGTCAGGCTCAGATTGTGGGGCTTCCTACAAGGTCAATATCTGGAACCAGGCATGGTGGTACATGCCTGTAATCCCAGCACTTGGGAGGTAGAAGTAGGAGGATCAAGAGTTTGAGGCCACCCTGGGCTACACAATGAGACCCAGTCTCAAAACAATTTAATAAAAAGGTCTCTAGCTGGAGCTGTTTTTTCTTTTTTTAAAAGCAACTTTATAAAAGATTAAAAAACAAATGAAAAATGTAGGAACTGACCTAGCTGTAAGGAAAAGTGGAAGACAATTAGGAAAATTTAAATACAAGTCATATATTAAATAACATTATTCTATTGGCAAGAAATTATTCTCATTATTTTCTCTCTTGATGATAAATTTCTGGTATGACAATAAGATGTGGGGAGAGGGTACTGGGGGTGGAACTGAGGGCCTTGCACATGCTAAGGAGATGCTGTACCACAGAGCTACACTTGTAGCCCCAATAATAGGACTTTGATTGTGCATAAGACCAAGAAGACACATTGTAGTATATAGGGATGAGCTATCACAATGTTTACAACTTAAATTTCTTACTTTCAAATGGTTTGCCAGCAACCACACAGTGTTTAGGAGAGGGGGAGAAAAGGAAAGGAAGAGAAAGAAAAAAATATGATAAAATACTACAAAGTCAATACATACCAAAAAGAATGTTTTAAAATAACTTTAATGTTGCAAAAGCACTTGGCAAGAGATGTACTCTCACAAATTGTTTTTGGCAGTACTGGGGTTTGAACTCAGGGCCTTACACTTGCTACACAAGTGTTCTACCACTTGAGCTATGCCAACAGCCCTTTTTAGCTCTGAATATTTTGGAGATAGGGTCTTGTTTTTTAGTTAGGCTAGCCGGGACCACAATCCTATTTTCCACTTCTTGATATAGCTGAGATGACAGGTGCACCATGATACCCAACTTTTTTCCATTGAGATGTGGTCTCGTAAATTTTTGTTCAGGCTGGCAGTAGCTTGGAGTGACAGTCGCACACCACCACGCCTAGATATTGGTTGAGATGGAGTATCGTTAACTTTTTGCCTGGGCTGGCCTTGATCAATCCTCCTGATCTCTACCTT